GCTTGTTAATCTGTAGTTAAAATGTTTCATTGTTTTCAGGCCCAGACTGATATTGAAGAAGCTTTAAAGAAAGCCCAAGATTGCTGCAAAGAAATACTTGCCATTGTTGAAGAGAGAAAAGAGTAGAAATATGCAAAAATTGCTTGGGGGAAGAAAAGGAGGGGTTATAAATATTGGTAAAACTCATTGCGATATGTTTTTATTGTCAGTGCAGTGTGGGGTAGGCATAGTATTTGTGGTCAGTCTGCTTGTATAATGATGTCCATTTGTCCTCGGGCTAGGGTTCATGTTTAACTGCATTACACCCCTTGCTTTATAGTGGTATAGCCCACTTTATATTAGCCGCAATTATAGGTGGGTCGTCCAACAAACGCTTGGTGAATGCGAAGAAAAATTGAATTGTAGATAGCAAAGAGTGTTAAATCAGATTTACATATGGTGTGTTATTATTTTAGAATGAATTGTGGGACAAAAATGTTCATCATTCTTTCCAAATCAGTGTTTGCATGACGTTCTATGTCAGTCTACTGGTCAATGTGCGTTTATTTGTTTAAACTTGTATCTCAAAGAGATAGTAACTTGCACCCAAATGTGTCACTTATATTTCAAAGTCTTTTGTACTAAAACTTCATATGCCCATACTGTATAGAAAACTGAACTGATATCATACATGTAAGGCTATTGAGCTGCAGATTTATATTTTTATTGATCCCAGCTGTATTTGTTACACTTGTCATCTATTCTCTTGGTGAAACAACAGCCAGCATATGAGACGATTTTGACACAATCACTAGCCAATACTGTTTAATTTGTTTGTATTCCAACTATGCATTCCAATATTTTTGCCTAAAAAAACAAATCATTGAAGATCAGGAGTAAACTCAGCAATCGTGTCACTCGTTTTATTTGTATACTGCCCTCTGGAGTCAGAAATATACAAATGTTTCGATTTTCATTTCTGAGTGATTTTTCTGAATAAACTAAATAATACCTGTCGTCTTTGCTGATGAGTTTGCATTGTCATTCTCACCATTCTCCAAAATAGCACATACCCATTTTGTAAATTGTCTATATTAAAGTACATAAATATTCTAAAGTCTCTAATGATATCCATATTATTATATATTGGTGTAATGTAAAACTAATTGTTGTAAAATGTCAGGGTTAGGAGGAAGGTCAAGGTTGTTATATTGGATGTCTCTACTTGGTGATATTATCCTTCAATGTTATTTTCAGTGACTGCATGCATGTATTAAACCGTGGGTCCGGATATATAAAAAGAAAGATGGCCGCCAGTTTTCAGTATGCAAATTACACTCACGCGTGAAACATCGCTTTGGGGTGCTCCGCAAAATCACTCTTTTCGGCAATCTTTAATAACACCTGTGGTGCTTTATCGTCATGTCATACACAAACATGAATATATCCATGATACAATTTCTATGTTAATTTACAAGTGTCAGTGTAGTGTATAATTAATTAATCACTGGATTTTAAGTTTGGTATTACAACT